AGAAAGACAAATGAACAAGCTTTAAGATGATACCAATAAATCAATATGCCCAAAAATTGACGAGAGCCTGATTCCACCCCGCTGCCTCACACATAGTATAGATGTTTTATCTGCCCATTTTCCTTCCAACAACAATAAAATGTATAATGTTCCGGGTTTAATAAAAACACAATAACAAACAAATGAAGCCTGTTATCAGCACGTCCTGGTTCTTACGCTCTGAGCGTCTAGGTAATGACACTCCATCTTTCACCATCGAGGGCTGCCGATGTCCACTTGTCCATTCTGCCATAGGCCTGTCAAGTCCATGTTCTTATAATGTTGTCCATTAATGTCTGTTATTCTTTGCCTTCCTCTGGCTCTCCTGCCCTACATCTTTCCTTCAAGCACCTCTTTCACGAAGGTCTCGTGTCTTCTAAGTGGCCATAGTATTGTATTTTTCTACATTTCATTTTGCTCAGGAGGATTTGTCTTGTGTGCTGAATCTGACACACCTCTTTGTTTGTCTTTTTTGTTTTTCAACTTATTCTGGCCATTCTACGGTAGCACCACGTCTCAAACACATTATTTTGTTTTCTTCTTTCCTTGTCAAAATACAGGTCTCTGCGCCAAAAAGGAATATGGGGAAGATGTAGCATTCCAGCTTTTTCCTTCTCAAAGTGAGAGATAGTTGCCTGGATTTAAATGTTTTTTACTTTTGGCTGAATTTTGATTTTGCAGCTGCTGTTCTTATGTTTTATATCTGTTTCACTTCTTCCATCATCTGCGATTGTTGCCCCTAGATACTTGATTGGTGCACTTGTTCGATTCTCTCCCCATTTATGATTATGTCTGTTGTTTTTCCAGAAGATTCAGATAAGACCATTGCTTTTTTGTTTTCTTGGCGTTCATGTCTATGCCTGCCTTGCGGCTGTTCACTTTCACTTCTTTCACAATTTTATAAAGATATTCGTTTGTGTTTGCTAGCGGAACTGTATCCTCTGCGTATCTCATGTTATTGATGTTGCGGCCCCCAATAGTGACTCCCTGAATGTTTTGAGATTCTCTAAAAATAAACTTTGTATAGATGTTAAAGAGATAGGGAGAGAGAGGACACAACCTTGTCTAACTTCTCGAGGGATTTTAATATAATAATATTCTGATATTCCATTACACACTTTAATCGCTGCCTTCTGCTGCCAGTAAAGATTTCCTATAATTCTTCTATATTTGCCATCAATACCCATCTTCTCCAAACACTCAATCAGCCTGATGTGATGGATTCTGTCACAAGCTTTTGATTTGTCAATTAAGCAGGCAAAGAGGTCTTTTTAGTCTTGATTATTTTTCTGCGCTATTGTGTTCGTGCAGAAAATTCACTGTCTTGTGCCGCTTCCAGACCTGAATCCGAACTCTTCTTTTCCAATTTCTTTGTGAATGTTTCCCTTGATTCTCCCCAAAATGACTTTCAAAAATAATATTCATGGTATGTAGCATTAGACTGGTGGTCCTGAAGTCATCGCAGTTTGTTGCATTTTTGCTTTTTGGGGATGATAATATAAACCGACTGGGGTAACCGTTCTGGTCCTGAGTCATAGATATTGTTGAAAAGTTCTGTCATAGTGTCAGTGCCAAACTGATCTAAATGCTTTAACATTTCTGTGTTTATGCCATCTTCACCGGGGGCTTTTCCTTCCGGGGTGTTTCTTAATGCGAGCTCCACCTCTGACTTTAGAATGTTCGGACCATTGTTGTTACTTGGTTATGGTAGGGGTGGTCTTTTATCTTCAAATAATTCTCCAACATATTCCGCCCATCTTCCTAGGACTTC